ATTCAACTGCAGCGCGAGCATATTTACCAGTGGAACGTTTTACGGCAATCAAAGAGCTGGTACACACCGTGGTGCATGCTCCAACAATTCCCACACGTGTCTGTCTACAGCTGTTGGGACACATGGCTGCCGCAACCATTGTAGTGCGCAACGCAAGGTTACGTTTTCGTTGCCTCCAGCATTGGTTAGCCACGGTTTACATTCCGTCAAAGCACTCTGTCCACAGGCCAGTAGTGGTGCCACGGTATGTCCGGGATTCCCTCCAGTGGTGGATCAACCCGGCCAATCTTCTCACGGGCGTTCCATTTCATCGACCACAACCCTCAACACAAATCACTACAGATGCCTCCCTTACAGGTTGGGGAGCTCACATGGGCAATCTCACGGTTCAGGGACGTTGGTCGACACAAGAGATGCTACTACATATCAATGTGCTCGAGTTAAGAGCGGTACGACATGCTTGCAAACATTTCCAACTTACAGGTTGGGGAGCTCACATGGGCAATCTCACGGTTCAGGGACGTTGGTCGACACAAGAGATGCTACTACATATCAATGTGCTCGAGTTAAGAGCGGTACGACATGCTTGCAAACATTTCCAAGTCCACATTCAGAATACAACGACCAGGATTCTAACGGACATGGCGACTATGTTTTATATCAACAAACAAGGGGGTGTCCGATCCCATTCTCTTTGTGCAGAGAGCACTCGTTTATGGAATTGGTGTATCGCCAACAACACCGTTCTCACAGCATCCTACTTTCCAGGCATCGACAACTTAATAGCAGACTCTCTCAGCAGGCGTTTTCCTCACGACCACGAATGGGAGGTACGCACGGACGTGCTGACTCGTGTTTTCGCTCGATGGGGATTTCCAACAATAGATATGTTCGCGACAGAACTCAATTCGAAATGTCCCACTTATTGTTCAAGAGCCGGAATAGGACGCCACTCCCTGGGGGATGCCTTTCTTCTCCACTGGGGGACATCGTTACTATACGCCTTTCCCCCGGTAGTGTTAATTCCCAGGGTTCTGGAAAAGATCAACATAGACGAGGCCCGGGTAATCCTCCTAGCACCGGCATGGGCTCGTCAGCCTTGGTTCTCAATGCTCCACCAGATGTCAGTGAGAGCGCCGTATCCTCTGCCTTCTCTTCCAAATCTGTTGACCCAGGACAACGGGTCCCTCGGGCACCCGAGAACCGAAGTTCTGCACCTCACCGCATGGATGCTTGCTGGTTCACCGACTCCGAACAATCATGTTCTCAGCGAGTCAAGCAAGTGCTGATGCATAGTCGAAAAGAATCCACACGAACCACTTATGCGGCTAAGTGGTCGAAGTTCCAAGCATGGTGTACAGACAACAATGTGGACTCGCGTTTTGCAACCCTACCTTGTATATTGGAATACCTCTTGCAGCTACATGACAATGGCCTGGCTCTTGCATCTCTACGAGTGCACTTGGCAGCAATCAATGCCTTCCACCACAGGGATGGCGATTTTTCCTTGTTCGCTCACCCTACTACAAAAAGATTTCTGAAGGGGCTCTCGAATCTCCATCCCCCGCGGAGGCCTCCTCCACCCTTATGGAATTTGGATCTAGTCCTTCAAACTCTGACTCGTCCCCCCTTCGAATCCTTAGCTACAGTGTCATTACACCTACTTACTATCAAACTGGTATTCCTCCTAGCCATTACTTCGGCTCGCAGGGTGAGATAGCAGCTTTTATGGCCTCACCGCCCTATACAGTTTTTTCGAAGGAATCGGTGACACTGAGGACCCATCCGGCGTTTATTCCAAAGGTTTCCTCTGAATTCCACATAAA